CAAAGAAAAGTCTAGAAAAATGTAGAAACTTCTAGAAAAGTCTAGAAGTCTAAGGAGAGGGGACTGGTAGGCAATACCCATTAATTACACTTTTTACATAATAGTTTTTCACACTTTGCTACAATATTAAGTGCACATAAAATGATTGTATTGAATGACCACTAATTTGATATACAAAGCACTTAAAGTCCGCAACAATTTGATCAATGATTGAATTCATATCATTGATGTTTGTTTAAACAAAACTTAATTACCTAAAAAAGTACTCATATTTACTTGAATATTTTTACCAATACAATTTATCAACGGAATTAACTTATGGATTGATAAATGATTAAAGTATTAATCAACAAAACAAGTGCACATATACCTTATAAAGCCAACATAACAGTATTTCAAAAAGTTTATTGTGTATAATGTTTAAAAAAAATAATTATTTTCGTATTATGGGAACACATTTACCCCATTGTACTTATAATTTAATCATAATTATGTTTAGAATTATAACCTTGATGTCCATAATATATAAAGAGAATAATATTCTTTAAACATAATATTCTTATAAGTAAATTCATTAATTATAATGAATTGGATAGTATTATCCGTTATTATCCAGGTATTTTTCACTTGTGTCCGGGCGAGTGACAAAGTGTTTTGGTATGAAAGTGGGGCCGCGGATGGCATGAATGAAGCCGTGCCTATCGGTAACGGTCGTGTAGGTGGACTTCTTTATGGACACCCGGGTTAGTCATAAAACACAATATTATCAAAAATTATAATAGACCTACAAGTTAATTTTAAAACTGATTATTTTTTATTTCAAATTTAAGATTCTTAAATGTTAATAAATATAGTTATAAGTTATATAAAAAATAGTATACAGTACATTTATTTTTAAAAAATTCTACTTATATTTATAAATATCCCGGGTATTCATGAGTTTTGGGACAATTTCAGAAAAAGAGAAAATAATTGTAAATGAAATCACTTTATGGACGGGCGATGACAACCCGTCCCAAGTGTGGGGCGGACCAGGTTTTGGCGATTACCAGACTTTGGGTAATCTTACCATTGATTTACCGCAACATAAGGACAACACTCACTACAAGCGGGCGCTGGATATCGGGGACGCCGTCGCCACCGTTGAGTACGAGTCACACGGAGTTCAATACAAACGAGAAGTCTTCGTGAGTCACCCCTCGGAGGTTATGGTCATCCGGTTGACCGCCAATAAGGGACAGTCATATACCGGACACATAGAGCTCCAGGATTCGCATAAAGTGGGCGCTCATGCGTCTAACAACACGATAGCCATCGACGGGAAACTACAAAATGGGTTGAGGTTTGCGTGGGAGGTGTCGATCCACAACACGGGCGGGAGTCTCAAAGTGAACGGTGCGCTCATTGAGTTCAATGGGTGCGACTCATTGACGCTAATAGTGAGCGCCGGCACTGACTATGTGTTCGACGACTCGAAAAAGTTTAAGTCCGGCGAAGACCCTCTCAAT